CGAGAAGCACTGATTTTATTTCCATGGAGACACAAATTTGCTTCCATGAGATGTACAGTTGTGTCTCTCGAAAAGAAAAAACAATCACAATTCTTTTTGTTATTTTTTGCTTTCACGAGAAGCATTTTCTTATCATGGAGCACAAATTTGCTTCCACGAGAAGCATGTGCTTCTCGTGGAAGAGATGCACATATTTGCTTTCACGAGAGCACAACTATTCCTCTTGGAAAAGGGGAAAATTATAAATTTTGTTTTTTGCATGTATTTTTTTGCTTCCATAAGAACCACAATTGTGCCTCTTGAAAAGCATAGACACGGTTTTGCTTCCACGAGAACCAAGCTATGCCTCTCGTGAAGTGAAAAAGTGAAAAAACAATCATGCCTTTAGGTTTTTTCTTCCAGCTTTTTCCAGACTTCTCATGAAAAAAGTTCATCAAAACTATTAACATGAGATATTCTTTCGAAGATCTCGACACAAGAAATCCAAGGTGAAAACGGATTGGGATTTAGACGCAAGGTTCGAGATATAGAACGTTTTAAATAAACGAATCTACGAAAAAAAACTCACAGGATGCAACAAATGGTGCACATGTAATGCGCCACTTGTTAGCGCATGAGAAGGTGAGAATGACATTTGTAAGGGGTAGCCCTTAACTAGTGTTTTCATGCAAATGGGCACAACTATATGACACTTATAGCGAGACGCATCCAGTTGTCGCATACATCCTCACTTGATAGCTTGCGTGGGTGGACCGACCCATTAGTGCAATACGGTTGCTCACTCACGTCCCCTTGATCGATAAATTACTTTCAGAAAACAAGAAAACGGCTTATGTCTCAACAAAGAAAGCTGTGAAAATGATCATCGTCAAGGCAAATACTAACACAATACAAACATAATCATCTGCAGACAGTTGACGAAGAATATCCTTAAAATTGTTTGCTTAACACATGTCTGAGTACGAACAAGAACCAAAATATCTAAGTGTTGTTCAGATTTTGACTCTTGTGGTGGTCGGATAGCGTGTTTTATCATGTCCGCCCGGCCTTGGACCGTTGCGGCTGGCCCGGACGCAGTAGGGATATGTCGTTCTTTAAAAACTCTAAGAGCTGTCTGAACTTTGACCCTTGCGGCTAGCTGAATAGCGTGTTTTGCCATGTCTGTCCGACCTTGCACCATTGCGGCTAGATCGAACACAGTAGAGAGCAGTCGTTCTCCAAAAAAAATCTGAGAGATGCTCAGACTTCGACCCTTGCGGCTGGTCGAGTAGCGTGTTTTGTCATGTTTTCCCAACCTTGGACTATTGCGGCTCGAACATAGTAGGGAGATATTGTTCTCTAAAAAAGTTTGAGAGCTGCCCGAACTTTGACCCTTGCAGCTAGCCGGATAACATGTTTTGCCATCCCTGGCCCCTCAGTTGTTTGGTTGGTTCATCTGGTTTCCTTTTGCTCATGACATCCCAGGTGGGGATTGCCAGTTTGATGGTTCACAGCATTTGCATGGAGAGTTGTGGTCGAGTTTTCTATGAATCCGGTTGCAACATGAGAGGATAAAGCTTAAGAGTCAATTTACCTTCTCAATCGCCGTTTGGGGATGATTTCATAGGAGGAAAGTCTGCTAAACGTGTCGTCCATGGCTTGCTTAACTTACAAGGAAAACACAAATGTGATACAAATGTAACCTAATTCTGAGTTGTTGTTTTCCATGGCAATTATGACATGAGCTAAGGCCAGGGCATAAAAAGAACTCTCAAAGGCCATTCACCTGCTCAAGAAAACAACTTATGTCTTGACAAATAAAGCAACAAAACGACTTATGTCTTGACAAATAAAGTTATGAAATGATCATCGTAGGCAAATAGCAACACAATACGAACATAATCATTTGTGTATAGTTGACGAAAAATCAGATAGTCCCCTTAACTTATGGGCTACGGTTGGTGTCTACGTCAATTGACGCAACGAGTCATCTAATTAAGTTGATAAGTAGTCATGATAGGCAACCTAGCAACAAGGTGCTTTCATGTAGCATCAAAGTTGATAGGTAGTCATGGTAGGCAACTTCCAGGTAATGATAGACAATTTGGTAGTCATCGTAGCCAACTCAAAACAAAATATTTTTAGGATGATAGGTGACCATGATACAAATCATAAGCGAAAGTTGCTTATTGTAGCACACAAGTTGCCTCTCTGTGACACCAAAGTTGCTTGAGAGAAAAAAATTCTTCAAAACCAACTTCGTAGGTGACGCTAAGCAACTTGACGATCATGATAGCCAACTTTATAAGAGCATTGAGTGTTTTTTGAGCATCAGTACAGACACAAGCGCTCATATACACGCGCATACACTCACCCCTATAAACGCACACACACGCACACCCTACCCCTATGAGCACCTCCGAGAGACTGAGGCGGCATATCATCTTGAGATTTACGAAGCCACCGTAGGCGCCTCGTCGTCGACGGGAACGTCTCCTCCCACTGAAAGCACATCACCGGAAATCCTGAAATAAATCGAGGAATAATGCGAGCACCAGGATTTGAACCCTGGTGGATTAGGGATACCACTGTCCACCTAACCATCTCAACCACAGGTTGAGCATTGAGTTGATAGGTAATCATGATAGGCAACCTGGCAACAATGTGCTTCTTATAACATCAAAGTTGTCATGTAGTCATGGTAGGCAACTTACAGGTGATGCTAGAAAATTTAGTATTCATCGTAGCCAACTCAAAAGAACATCGGGATGATAGGTGACCATGGTACACAACCCAACCGAAAGTTGCCTACTGTAGTACAAAAGTTGCTCCTTCGTGGCATCAAAGTAAGTTTGTTGAGATCAACTTCGTAGGTGACACTAGTCAACTTGCCGGTCATGACCGCCAACTTTATAAGAGTATTGAGCTGATAGGTACTCATGATAGACAACCTGATACGAAAATGTTACATGTAACGGTGTAACACAAAAGTTCAATCATGGTAGACAAGCTACAGGTGCTAGCCAACTCAAAAGGACATCTGGATGATAGGTGACCATGATACACAACTTAATTAAAAGTTTCTTACTATAGTACAAAAATTGTCTCTCCATGGCACCAAAGTTGTGTGAGAAAGAAACCATTGAATCATACCCATATGGATGTAATTTTGAAGAGCTCGTCCAGAAATCCAATGATGAAAAGGAATCTTAATTCCGATGCTCGACTCAAAATTTATGACTTTTTAAAAGAATTGAACACACAAAACAATTGCACATGGAACAAGATCTTTATTTTTTTGGAGTGGATTTTGCACCATAGCATTATGACAAAAGCTTATCCTTTTTGGATGTGTTCGGAAACGCTATAGTCGTGTCCCTGTTTAAAAGACCCGGGAAAAGCTCTTGCTGACCGAGGCATCAAATTTTCTCCTAGCGTTTAGTACTACATGACATAATCAATACCAGAACACTAGTCAAGAGAAAATCAATTCATCCGGAATTTTATGATTATGTATGTGTAATGAACATACTGAGGAGTCTGCAATGCATTTTTTAGACAAACAGGACAAAAAAAATCAAAAGTGTAGCTGAATATATAGACTCCTGGAAATTATTGATTAAGCAAGACCTTCAACTGCTGGAACACAGGATCAAAGCATGCTTCTAGATTTAAAGCGATGGATTGGCACTCATCTATGCTGCTGGCCATTGATTTAATTCACACTTACTCTATGATCCCTAGAACTGGTATTGGATAGCTGTACTTATTTTTGTTTTTTTTCTGTCCTTTTGTACATATTTGACTTTAATTAATGAAAATCACCGTAGAACGATTTGAACATGCTAAAAAAATCAGAAAACAGAGACTCAAGGCGATTCCAGTGCAGAAACCACCTTCTTTCTCACGCCTTTCTTTTTTGCGGGGAATCACAGCTTTTTTACTTTGCCCTCCTTTATTCTTATTTCTTTGCGTGGAATCACAGCTCTTCTTTCACTTTGTCAAATTCAGATACTGGATAAGAAGTGGCAGCGTGTATAACGATTCAGATGCCAGGGAAGCACGATTTCATCATCTAATGGCATTTGCACATGGCGTCTAGAAGTCTATGTCACCTAATAGGCAGTGATGACAAGGTATGAATGTATGATGGATCGAATATCAAAATGCAGGTATACATCAAGAAATAAAGGTTGCATTTTTCTACATACAAAGTATATTTGCATTCCTCTATCCTACACTAATGCAGTTATCAAACAAGCAGCCAGTTCCTACTTCTTTTCTGCTCGCTGCTATTTCATGGATCCCTGGCCGCAGCTCGAACATCACAGTGCGGCTATACCTCTCATACGTACTAGACAAACCATCAGGCAAAGCTAAATCAACTGCATAAATATGCATTTAAGCTAAACCGTCTGAAATTCTAACGGTCAGATATAATGGGCAGGTTAATGTGAACATGCTAATTGCTGCCCAGGGTAAAACAAGTCAATCAAAAGGCAAAACGGAATAGTACAATAATACTGCAGAGAATTTTATTTAGAGACGTGGTTAAAACAACTTGCAAGAAGCGGACTTATTCTTGATATTACACGAGAACACGCTAAACCATGTCCGATTGATAGCTGCATCAACACCATAGCTGCAGATCCTTGCAAAGCTGGGGCGCGCCTGAAATTATTCAGATTAACAAATCAATTCTCTACAAACAAATGGCGAACAAGGTTCTAAACATCATGTGTCTTAATAATCTCGAGTAATTCATGGTGAACAATTCTATAATTGATGATAAGCAGGGTCCCATGATAAATTGCTGGTATTTTCATAAGTTGATATTATAGTCCTGATGATCAATAAAGAAACTTATGGACATAGTTATTACAGCCTGCATGATTCAACCAGGGGAAATACAGCTGAGATGATATGCTCTTGAAACAAGAATCAACCTTGATACTTTGCTGCGTGAAATAGGCGCAATTTTATTTGACGGTATTCAGTGTGAAACAGAGGGCAATCTTACCTCATGTGATTGCAGCGTCCTCCACCGGCTTGAACTCCTGGAGCTGCTTAAAGTTCTCCCATGGTTTCTCCCACACCTTAGCTTCATAGAGCTTCTTGGCCCCACCTTCAGTGACCCGAATTGTAATGTAGTGCATCGTGCCAGCAACAGTTTGCTTCTTCAGCTTCACTACATTCTCGAACTCCAGCAGGGCATTCTGCGACAGGGGTAGCGCCAAAATTATTAATCGGACTAAAAACCTCCATTGTCATGGGGAAACGTACTACCGGACAATTCTTAGCACAAATACAAACCCGGTAAATATAGGAGGAGCACTGTAGTTGGACTGCCTAACAAATATACTTCATGTTTTGGTTTTTGTTGCGAAAAAAGACATCATGGTTCAGATCAAATCGCACAGATTCATATGATTTACAGCGGTCGAATTCAACTTAGATGGGTGTAATAGTGAACAAGGGCCTGTAACCAAAGCTTTGTGGATCCAACAGCCCGGCTGTCGAACACAGATTCAGTTGGGCCTCACTCACACAGGGATGGACATGACAGAGAGAAAGAGAGAGAGAGGGGTAGGGGTAGCGAGGGGGCTTACGGCCTTGTTGTTGTGCTCGGAGACGGCGAAGCGGGCGAGCGCGATGACGTCGAGGTCGTTCTCCTGGCCCATCGGCGAGTCCTTGATGCCTCCCACCAACGGCCCCGCGTCTTCCGCCATGGCAGCCTTGTCCCGTGCGCTCTGCGTCCGGGTCTGAGTAAACGGCACGACGATGGCGAGTAGCAAGAGCAGGGCGGCCACCGATCCTACGACCCGATATTTCCACATCTCCATCGATCGATCGGGGTCGGGATTTATAGCTGCAGCGGCAGAGCAGGGGGAGGAGGATACGATCCGTCGGCGATGTATTATTGTGTGGGGACACTACGGAGTCTGGACGGGACACGGGAGCGGATGGAATAGGATCGTCGGGTCCTACCACGTCCCCGCTCCGACTTTTCCCGAATCCCGAGGGGTTGACAGCCTGCGTAACACGCTATGCTATCGCCAATGGCGACACTGTCGGCCATGGCTGGATTCCTTCCTCCTCCCGGACAAAATTCCTGTTCTGACCTTTGTGGCAAACTTAAACACGAATTGACCTTGTTTCTGAATTTTTTCGAATCTGACCTTGTCACGCCAACATGCATGGCGTTTCGGTTGCATGTGAGACGCCACGGTACCCGGCGTTTGGCCCTGACCCACACTCGTCCGCTTTGCGCTGCCATGGCAAAGAGGAAACACCACTGATCTTGGCGTTTGGTCACCATCTATATATGTGCGTATACACGAATGCTTCCTCGCTTGGTTGTTCATCTGTTTCTCGTGCGCATGCAATGCATGCATGCCTACCCTGTATGTGCAACGCTGGTGCTTCCTTTTCCTTCTCTCTCATAACCTAAGGGCATGTTTAACGGCAAACCGCAAAAAAAAAAAAATCCGCATCTCTCCGCGGTTAGGCACGGGGATCAGTCCGCGGACGGATGCGGGAGGACGACATCCAACCCTAGCGGCGTACATCATGCCAACAATTCGAACCAACCTCGCGAAATTCGATCAAATCAGACGAATTTCATTAAAGTTCGGATATAATTTACATAAACAGGTCGATATTTCGACCGTTTAACTAAAGCTAGAAAAAAACTAAACCCTATATGGCACGAGGTTTGCCCTGCCCTGTCGCACCGCCGTCTCCGTTGGTGCCATCGTCGTCGTGGTCCCACCAGCGGCGGTACGACGCCGGAGGGCGGCGGCAGCCTTGTCCGGCGGCTGACTGCCGCTCGCGGAGGAGCCGCTCCGCCTCCTGCTGCATCGTGCGGACTGCCACCGCGACCACTACTGAAGTGGCCTTCGGAGCACTCGCGGTGATCTTGCCACGACTGGCGTTGGCGGAGTAGTTGCTAAGCGGCCACTCCCCGCCGATCTTGGCGAACTCGCCATCAAGGCAGCGGCGACGCCTGGCGGCCGTCTCCGCCGTGGTCATGGAGCGATCAAGCGCCCACGCGGCGGCGAGGCTTGGGTCATTGCAGACCCAGCTCGGCGCCACATCGCCCTTGGCGAACGCGGAGTGGCGACCGGTATTGCGCTGGTCATATCGCTCCTGCTGCCGAGCGACGCGCTTCGGCTCAGACACGATGGCCCTTAAGACCGAGGGACCGCCGCTGTAGTGGAGTAGGCGGCCCCACACCTTCTTGATCGCGGGAGGCAGCTCCTCCTTGACGACGAGGCGGTAGTGGCGCGGCGGTGAGAACGTCACGTCGATGCGGCCATACCGGCTGCGTGGCGGGGACACAGGCTCGTCCTTTATGCGGCGTTTGATCTGGATGTCGCGGTGGTGCGGGGGCGAGGCCAGCTCATCCTTCACGCGGCGTCCGATCTGGTTCAATAGTCGAGGTGAGGCCCGAGCGAAGGGGCGGTCCACTTCAATGCGCCACAACGGCTGGAGTTGGTTCCTCGGGAACCTGCGTTCGCATTGAGGCGACGGCTGCCGAGAGGTCGCGTCGGTCAGTGCGCCCTCCCTCCCTTCGATCACATTGCGACATCAATATCTGCCGCTGCATGCTCTGGGGCGGCATGAATGCGGCGCGGTTAGCGGCGTGTGCGCCGGAAATAAAACACAGAAGAGACGGGGTGGGGACTTTTGCGGGCCAGGGCGGTTAGAAATGGGCTTGGCAGCGGTCCGGAATCCGGTAAAGGCCCCACGTTTGTCTCGGGTTTGCGGGATAAATTGCGGCCAGACCGCCCTGCAGACCAATACAGGACTGCGTTGAATTGCTTGCGTGGTTTGGATAGCACGGTCCGGACGGTTGTGAGGGGTTTGCGGGTCTGCCTTGAAGATGCCCTAATAAAAGAGAAAACTATGAAAAAGCTAAGCTAGGTTTTGTGTTCGCGCGCGCCCAGGGCTGCCATTAGTGCTCCCGGCTCTGTTGGCAACGGGCACACATCCAGCCAGGCGAGCGGCGCCACTGCCACTTCAGCCTACTGCATCAACGACACACATTGGAGTAGAATGACAAAGGAGAGAAGTGGAAAGGACCGAGCACAAAATTATAGTGTGAGAAGATGGAGTGCAAGAATTTATAGACATGTTCTTTTGAGTTTTAAACTTCCAATCGACGTTGTACTGGCGTGGTGCATCGAACGAGGACAAAGAATGAAGAAACCGATCAATTGGTGTATGCATGTGTGCGGGCTGAGAATTATAAAGGACCAAACGCCAAGGACTATGATGTTTCGTCGAGACGCCAAGATCAACGGCGTTTCCTCTTTGCCATGTCAGCATCAGTCGGACGAGTATGGGTCAGGGCCAAACGCCGGGCACCGTGGCGTCTCCCATGCAACTGAGCTGGCGTGACCAAAAAAGGTCAGTTTCGAAAAAAAATCAGAAACAGGGTCCATTAAGTTTGCCACAAAAGTCAGAACAGGAATTTTGCCCCCTTCTGCCCGGTATCTCCGGCCGTTAGGCGCCTCCAGGACAGAAATAGCGTCTGTTGAGGGCTAGCCGGCGCTGTTTTGGCCTTGGAGGCGGTCGGGTTTCCAACCACAGCCTCAGGTCGACCCCAGACGACATTTTTTGAATTTAAATTTGGCTAAAATTAGACAAAAAACACGAATTCAACTAATATTCGATGGGTTCCATTCATATTTGTACATAATAAGAAGACACAAATAAAACATAAAAAAAGCCAAACTACGCCGCCCATCGCCCGTCGCTGCCCGCGCCTTCTACATGTCGAGGAGCTTGTAGAAGGCGGTGTAGTCGCCGCCGCCGCCGCCGTCGTCGTCCTGCACGCCGCCACTGTCGTCTTTGCTGCACCCCTGACCTGTGTCGTTGATGCGGGGGATGGGAGGGTGGGGTTGGTCGACTCGGCGCCTCCTCGTTGTCGTTGTCGAGGACGACGACGCCACCCTCATCACAGTCGCGCGATCTCCTCCAGAGCGCGGCGCTGGCGCCCCATTTCCTCCCGGACGTAGTCCTCGCGCGATCATGCCAGGCCGTCCTCCAGGTCGGCGGCCCTGGCCTCGTGCTCCTTCTTGACGGGGAGGAGCGTCGGCTCGCTCTTCGCCTTGAAGAGGCGGGAGAAGCAAGGAAAAGGGACACGGCCGCCCTCGTTGATGACGAGGGTGCCGTCGCGGGTGCACCGTCCGAGCGGCATCTCCCACGGCTCCGACTTGACGGGGAGGAGCGCCGGCACCAGGAGGAACGAGAGCTCGACGTGGACGACGACGCCGTCTTCATTTGCCTCGGCATCCAGGAACTGTCGCAGTGGCGAGAGAAGGAGGGGCCACCGGGTACTGTCGTGGTTCTAAGACTGACAGTAGAAAGGGGGGTAGGTAGGGAGAGGCAAGATCTCAGCTATGGTGAAGGTGTACACACGAGGTTTACGAGTTCAGGCCCTTCTCGGTGGAAGCAACAACCCTACGTCTCGGTGCCCGGAGGCGGTCGATTGGATTATATGTGTGATGTTACAGGGGGTGCGAACCCTTGTGCCAGAGGAGGGGGGTGGCTTATATAGAGTACGCCAGGACCTCCACCGCCCTCCATTACAAGGGACTTAAGTGCTGTTAATGACCTTAAAGACTATGGAGTGAACGCCTGCCCGTTGTAATGCTGAGTGACTCCTGGTCTTCGATAGGTCGAGTGATTCTTTGGATGGTCGAGTGACAGTAGGGAGGGGGACGCCTGAGTGACATGACTGTCGAGTGGATTGCACTCGACATCTTTGACTGGGGGGTCTCTTGCTGTCTCTTGGACTTCTTATCTTCTAGGGTAGTGACCTTGGGTAGGACGTATAGGTCCGGCCTATGACCCTACCCCAAGTCTGTATCCTCATCAGTAGCCCATGAATGGATTAAGGTTCGAGTGGAAAGTAGGTTGAAGTTGAACTTGTTCTGAGCTTTGCACCTTCGCGAGTGTTTTCTGCAAGACTGAAAACTCATGTTGGTACTTCAGCGTCTACTCACCCGCCTTGATCCATTCAGAGAGTTGTCGACTGAACTTGTGGAATCATGTGCCGAGTGCTGTATTAGAGTGCAGGATCTTGGGCGCGATTGACTGCTGTGTATCCCGAATTTCGCGGGATACGAAATTTCGGGGAAGCGTGCGGGACGGGGAGCGCCGAAGCGGGCGGAGCGGATAAACAGTGATGCCTCTATTTCCGCACCACCTTTTTCGCCACATACGTTGCGCGCGACTATTGCGGGATTTGACAGGATTGCCTGGTCCCACGCGTCAGTCACTCGGAAGCAACCCTTTATGAGGCGACGGGGCCGAGGCGTCTGCACTGTGTACGCCCGCTCCTCCTTCTTTTTCCTCCGCTTCTCCACCGCGCCCAGCACTTCCGCTCTCGACGTTGCCGCTCCACCGCCATGGTAAAGGACAAGACGGCAGCGCAAGAGCGCGCAAAGAAGGCGGCGAGGGCGGCGAAGGGCAAGAAGCAGACCCGCGGGTCGTTATCGCGCGCGGGGCTGCCGCCGGGCTCGATCCAGGGCGATTGAATCCGGTCTTCGATTCGGCAGGAAGATCTGGACGAGCTAGCGGAGTCCGAACTGATCGCCAAGGGAGCGGCAAGGTGCCAGAGGGGGAGATGGAGCCTCAGCCTCGACCGGGTGAGTGTGTACTGCTCGCCACCCACGTCGACCGGGGTTTTTCTCTTCCTCCGCACCCCTTCTTTCGAGGGTTCTTGAATTTCTTCGGTGCTCAACTCCACCCTTTTTCTCCCAACACCATCACGTATCTGGTCACGTTCGTGTCGATGTGTGAAAACTTCTTAGGGTGTCGACCGCACTGGGGT